CTAGCGGGCCTGTCACTCAGCCGGCAAGGGGAGTAGCCAGCAACTCTGGGCTGCTCATCAAAGCATTGCACAAGGAGGCAACGTGCCTGTTCACTGCCTGTGTACGGGGTACAAGAGCACAGGTACATTACTGAGTGGCTTGGAAAAGAAAATTGTCACACGCACCCCCTTACAATTAATTCCAGTTCTCTGTGCAGCAAACTGTGATCCATGAATATCTGTGCACATTGTATTTGTGTTTCATTAATTTACACATAATATATATACAAATATATATGCATATATAGAGATTATAGCCAAAAATGAGCAATCTTAATTTACTAAGTACCTGTGCTTCTGCCACATAATTTAAAATTTAACATCATATGAGTCATACAGGACAACATCCATAACAAAACCAGTAACAACTTTTGAGCAGGAGCTTCCTGCTGCATTCACTCCACATCCCGCTGCAGCATTCAGCGCATCGCCAGGCAAACTGGCAGTTCAGTAATAAGCAACATTCTCAGCGTCTAACTGCATGAAGGAGGGGGACAGGATCAGAAACAAAAAAATACTTTGTAAAACAAAATTATAACACTTCACTCTCAGTGATACATGTTCCTTAAACATTTACTAAGAATCCATCAATTTCAGGCAATCTAAAAATCTGAATCAACTTGTGACTAACTTGCACAGATGCTCGCTCTCTCTTTCTCTCTTTCTCTCTCTTCCTTTCCTGCCATTAAGAAATACAGCATTTCCAATATTTCTTATTTTCTTATATCCGAGATGTAGTATTTCAGAACTTGCCAGGAAAATGCTAGAGGTGAAAACCCAGTTCCACTGAAGTTAACTATAATGGCGTTCACTGTGTGAAATGTTTCACGGCATTAAAGAAAACGATGCGAGGCTGAGCAAAACATGACACGGTCGTGTTGCCTGCTGATAAACAGGACTAATATCACTGAGCAACAGAAACCCAGAATGGAGCGTCTTCTGGAACCTTATAGCAGTTTTATTACATGTCAGATGACTGTCCGTGCTTTGCAAGTGTTCCTTTTAAGGATAGGAAAAGGAACTGTAATTAGGAAAGCACCTTAAATTATTTTGTATAAGATGACGACAGTGGAAGGACTTGACTCATTGAAACTACTTTACCACTTTATGGGTTGCTAGAGATAAGGAATCTCTGAGCTTCCATATTGTTCCAAAAGAAAAATCAGCTTATTCCAGACTTCCCCACTGCAGATGACTCCCACTTCTTCCACCAGCCAACGGAGGGACAGACAACTGATTCTAAGACAAAGTTTAGCACCAGAAGTGCATCGCAAAAAAGTAGCTAGCAAACATTCTGTCATCCTCTGCCAAGCTATGAGCCGTCCTCAGTAGGGAGCAATAAAAGCAAGACTTTACATTCAGGTAGATTGATTTTGTTTCCTTAAAACACAATAGTTTTATCATTTTCCAAAAAATAAGTATTCTCTAAACAGTTTAGTTTACTCAGCAAGACAACCCAACAGTTATGTTCCATTGCCACATTGTAGATATTTTCCACAATGGCAGTGGCTATCTTCTACAATTTCCTAAGACAAAATTCTGGAAAGGTTATTCGGACATCGACTTTGAAAGCAAATTTCATTTTATTCATGCACATGTCATATTTGTTTTCTCCAACTATGCTTAGCTAAAAGTAATAGTGCAGTTCTGAGTTGTACATTCAATTGTTTGCATTCTGAATGGGAGCTGCATTCACACAATGTGTCAGAGCGCTACTGACACTAAATAAATACTACTTAAAATATGCAACGTATTAATCTACAATAGCCACAACTCATGAAGAGGCTGAAGATGCTAATTCGCTGCCCCAAAAAATTTGGCAAAATAATTTCAGCAATAAATATACTCACTGAGAGTATCTCACAAACAGAGAAAAAAAAAAAGGGAAGTGAAAGAAATATGCAATCACTTAACATTGGTTTTTCTCTTGCTAAAAATAGCTCCCTGGAATCATGTGCCTCCTCTGAAGCACTTCCTTATAGTCTTAAAAATTATGGCACATGACACAAAGTACCTGAGGCGCTTTGTGAAGCAGAGGCGGTTTTGTGTCTCTTTTCCCTCTCCTCCCCAATTGCATTTCTGTGAACCTCCAAGTCTGTCCTTATACCAAACCTGGCGTATGAAAAGCCTGTTTCTCTGTAGATTTTGTTTGCAGGCCTGTCATTCCTCAGCTCTGAGAAACCTCAAGCCTGCTAACTGCCCGAGTGCGCTTCCCAGGCACAGCCACCGAGCATGTGCTATTGCCGATTAGCGGTGCGAGCGTCACCAGAGAAAGAGGCGGCAGTGGCGGAAGGGTTGGCTTCGAGGGACTTTTGGCACTGTGGAGATTAGGAGCAGCCTGGCCCTGGGCACAGCTATTACCAGCCTGTCCCGCAGTGTCTATTATCAGGCTGCCCACTGCTTCCATTGCCTTCAGAGTGGGCCCTAGATACCAAAGCCCTGGCGATGGGCGTAAGCTAAGACCACAAACAAGACAGGCTTTTTTGGTTACTGGGGGGTTTTTTGTTTCTGTTTTTCTTGGGTTTTGGGTTTGTTTGTTTTTTTTTTAATGCCACCACAGTACCCACTAGCAGCAGCTAGGCATGTGCAGGGAGGCATTCTGGGATACTTTTTTTTTTTTTAATACGGTTTGCTTGGGAGGAACTAACTTTTCACAGTAGCAGAAAAGATTGTTGAGAAGAAAGCCTATTCAATTCGTGATAAGCCTGGCTACAGGCCACCGGAAAATTTTAGAGAGATCTGGGAATGGATGGCTACCAGACGAGCTGATGCCAGTCTCAACTAATCTGGGCTAGCTACATCATCCTTAGGAACGCTACCAAAACCCGCTGCATTCAACAGGCAATAAAGACTACCTACTTCACATTTTTCATTTAAGTTAGTAAAAAAACTATTTAAAGACTGCCTCCCTCTGTCAGGTGGTCCAATGGAAATAAGGCAGGGCTGCCCACTGTAAGTTATCATCAGCGTAATGAGCCCGTATGTTTAAACAAATAGGTTTTGGTACAATCAGACTGGACAACCAAGCAGTCCGTTACCTTCCCCACACTGCAGGTCTATGACCCGGCAAAAACTTGGGGCTCGCAGCGTGTGAATTCATCTGTGGGGTAGTGCCCTTACTTGGGCCCTACTGCCACAACCGCGGTTACTGTTGAGTTTGGATCATTTGATGAATTGCCAAAAAGGTCAACCGCACAGCAGTCAGGCTCCGCTCTTGCCCTGCTGTTCCTTTTGTTGCATTGGTTCTCAGTGCCTCAGTTTCTCTATTCATAATGTGGAGCTAATAAACCTCAGGCCTTTTACAAAAAGTGCTGAGAGCTAAGGAAGAAAAGCTACGAGGGAAGAACTGGCTGTGGTTTACTAAACCTGTTTACCAAACATGAAAGCTCTACCCAACGTATGGAAAAGAGACCGGTAGTCCACTCACACAGATACTTAAACCTTCTGCAGGAAAATTGGAAAACTATTTCTACTATTGAGTAAATCTTGTAGCAGATAATAAAGAATCTTCAAATGTCCTGAACCCTAAGGAATAGCCTAAAAAATGGACACAGGCCTGTATTCTTTTGTAAATTGTAGCATAAAAGGGCTTGAGAAATTCAAAACTTGGATCTAGCAGAAAACCCCAACCAAACAAAAAACCGGGCCTGCCTGCCCTATGCAATCACACAGTCGCTGGGCGCAGCCTTACACAGTGCCGATGCCTTAGGCCAAAGCTAAAGGAACCCGTAACCCAGCCACACGGGGTCTGCGCCTGTCCCAGATACAAGTCCTCTTGTCACAAACCTTGTGTTGACAGCAACTGCGTATATTGAATCATCACGATATTTTAATAGCTTTTCCCTTTCCTTTTTTTTTAGGGGATGGGGGGGACGCGATCAAAATTGCTTCATTTTTGAGCGTGTGAGATGGAGGCCTCACCTGCATTCCCTACAGCGCGAGATGGAGACCTCACTGGAGACCTCACCTGCATTCCCTACAGTGCACCCAGCGGGGCGGCTGCCCGTGGAGTGGGTGCTGCAGCTTTCACGGCCCCAGAGCAGGCAGCAGAACACAGCGATTTAAGGTCTCTCACTATGTTTGTTCCTTATCCCCTAAGAAATTAATTAGATGCCATTAGGAAGGACTTAGCGACGTACCGGCTGTACTCGGCATTATTACTGAGTCCAGCTTCCATCAGACACACGCTGATAAGCACGAAATAAGGAACTCAAGGGAGGCTCCGCATCCCCCGCCC